CAGGGCGCGGGGCCCCTCCCAGCCCCCGAGGGTGACCCCTGACCTGTCTGATGATACCCTCTTCTGCCCCTAAGCGGACTGTAGATACCCACTACCGGTCCCGAAAGGGTGCCCCATCCGCGCCTTCTCCCCATTCTCCGGAGCCCCAGCTCCCAGAGGCCCCAAGCCAGTCTACACCCACCCTACCGCAAATACCTGCGGGCTCGCCTCCCCGCAGGGCGCAGAGCCCAGGGCGCAGGGCGCCACCTAGCTCGCCCCGAGAGAGCTGCTCCCCGCCTTGAGGGGTCTCCCACAGCACAGCGCCCTTGCTCCCCTCTCCCGCGCCCCACCCCCAGCAGGCGCACCTGGTAAGGCTCATCCTGCATCCTGCGCAGGGCCAGGGCCTGAGCTCCCAGCGTGCCCACGATGCCATCCAGGGCCTCAGTGCTGCTCAGCCACTTCCTGCGCATCAGCTTGTTGAAGTAAGGCTGGAGGGACAGAGCGGAGGGAGGGTCGTGTCATAGCTCCCCTCCCCGCCACTCTCTTCACTTAGTAATGCAACATATGTTCCCACACGCTGCTCTGAGCTGAACCAGGATTGCCCGGTGCTGGGACCACAGCCCACAAGCCCTGACTGAGACAGCCCAGCCCTGCCTTCCTGGGGATGAGTCCAGAGAAGGAGACAGACCCCGTCCCCGGAGAGTGATGACCCAGGGTGTGCAGGGCTGGGACCCGGGAGCCCAGGCAGGGGTTTAGGAAGCTCAGAAAGGATGCCCAAGTCAGCATAGAGTCAAGGAGGACTTCTTGGAGGAGGAGACACCAGAGCTGAGGCCCTGATGATGGTCATCGTTAGCCAGATGGAAGAGGGAGTGGCTCAACCAGAGGGAAGTGTGAAGAAGGTTTGGATTTCAGACCAGCTTGCCGGTCAGAGGGCCAGGATGCAGGGCAACATGGCTGGCAAGATCATCTGTATAATTCCCGGGGCCCAGTGCAAATGAAAATGGACGATACTTATTCAAAATTATTAAGAACTGCAAGACAGAGACAGCAGAGAATTAAACCAAGCTCTGGCCCTTCTAAGCAGCGGGGCCCTGTGTGCCTGCTCAGCTCTTCAGGTCCCTAAGGCCATAACTAGCGAACCAACAGTGGGTCAAGGGGTGGAGCCGAGCACACAGGGCAGAAATCAGGGGGGAGGCTAGAAGGAGGGAAAAGGGGGAGTGATGGGGATCAGGAGGAAAGAACAACTTCGGTGGTATGATCAGAGGGTGTAGTGAGTGACCACCTGTGCAGGGAGGGGGAGGAGGCATCTGGATGAAGTGCAGGTGGAGGGGCAGTGGATCTGTCCCTGAGATGCCCTCTGGGAGGAGTGAGAGGAGACAGGGTCTGGGGTAGACACCAGGAGTGTGAGGTACCCGGGAAACTCCGGGGTTGGTGTCTGTGGGGGTCTGAAGTAGGTCCCTACCCCAATTGGCCTTGCACCCCCTTCTGCTCTCTTATCCTGACAGCAGCCCTGTTTCCAGAACCTCTAAAAACGGGGCCTGTGGGCTCTGGTTGAAAATCTGGTGGGAATGAAATGAGCTGATGTTCTGGGTACGGCGCCTGGCTCAGGACGGACACATTCCTGTTGCCATGAAGTCTGTACATTTATGAAGATAACAATGGCAATGGCCAATCTCTGCGCCTGGACCCAGGCTAAGCACTTTGTGGCCACAATCCCATTGCTTCCTCGCAGCCCCTGAGAAGCCTGGAATTCCTGTGCCCTCTGTCTACACAGAGGCCCTGAGAGGACAAGCGGTTTACCAAGGTCCCCCTCCTGGAAGCGAGTAGCGAGCAGCGGGCCTGGAACAAAGACTGTACCCCCTTCCCAGCACCCCACCCCCCAACTCAGTCACCTCCATTTACATACTTATTCAGTCACTCAAGAAACACTCTCTGAGCCTTCCTGTGGGCCCAGCCTTGGGTGGGTCGCTGGGGAAACATCAGGGAACACTTGGGGACACAGCCCAGAATGAGACAAACAACACTTGATAATCTTAAGCAGGCCAGGGGAATCTACATGCCGACATGATAGCTGATGATACTGACTCATTGTTCTATGTGTCGGGTATAAAAATGGCATTTAGTTATGTTTGTTTAGAGAGGAGTCCTTATCTTCTGGAGATGCAGGCTGCAGTGCTGATGGATGATGACAGGATGTCAAGGGTCTGCTCCAAAGTGATCCAGAGGGTACGGGGTGGGGGGGGTGTGGGGGGGAGATAAACAAGACTGGCCCCGAGCTGACTTGCTGGAGCTGGGTGATGAGTCCACAGGAGGTCAATCTGTCATTCTGCCTAGTTTTGTGTATGTTTAAAATTTTCCATAATAAGTTTTTTTAGAAACATTCCAACAAATCCTTGCTCTTGAGAAACTAACATTCCAGTGGGAGGAGACTGATGTAAAAAAGAAAAGTGACAGGTGGCCGCAGGCGCTCTGGCGACAAATAGAGCAAGGAGTGAGGAAGGGAGCCTATTGTATTATGTTCTTTAAATTTTTATTTATTGACTTTAGAGAGAGGAAGGGAGACGGTGGGAGGGGGAGAGAGAGAGAGAGGGAGGGAGAGGGAGAGAGAGACACACATCGATTTGTGTTCCACTTATTTACGTGTTCATGGTTGATTCTTTTACACGCCCTAACTGGGTGTGAACCACGGCCTCCAGCCTACTGAGCTACCCAGCCATGGCGGGAGTCTGTTTTAACTTGGACAGTCAGAGGAGGTCTCACTGAGAAGGTGACATCTGAGTCCAGACTTCAGAGAGGTGAGAGAGCGGCTGTGTGGCCACTGCAGGGAAGAGTGGCCCAGGCAAAAGGCAAAGGAAGTGCAAAGGTACAGAGGCTGCCTGCCGGGAGCAGCGGCGGCTAGAGTGGAGTCGGGGAAAGTGGGAGGAGGTGGGGTCAGAGAGGGGAGAGGCGGACTGTGCAGGGCTCGGGCCACAGCAAGGACTCTGGCTTTGGCCCTGAGTGAGCTGGGAGCCACAGAGGCTTCGGAGCAGAGGGACATGATCTGATGTACAACACGGACTGAACATGCGTTACAACCACACAGCTCAACCACACACCTCAGTCTCATTCCCCGTTTTCCCACCATCCTCCCCGCATGCTCTCACCCACCTCTGAACCCAGCCCGCTCTGGGCGTGCACAGGAGCCCAGTGAAGGTGACCAGGGCAAGCATTTGGGGGACCTCAGTGGGGAAGGGCTCCACCCAGTCCCCCAGACCCTTCCTGCTGGTGGCTCTCTGTGCTCACCTTGACCATATCCTCCCACCTCTTCCTTCCTGTATCCCCTCTGTCCCCCAAATAGCCCAGATGTGGCCATCAACCCCCACTCTCCACCCCCCCCTGCTTCCCAAACACTGAGTCACGGCTGAAGGGACCCGGCTGAGGGGCAGGTGTGCGCCCCTGTCCCAGCAGGGCTCCACCCAGCCCTCGCTTCACTCACCTGCAGCTCCTGGAACAGGAGGTCAGCCAGCACACGGTGGCAGAGCCGGGTCACTCGGTCCAGAGCGCTGGCTGCCGCTTCCCGGGCTGGCTCACTTTCGGGGGGGCCCACTCGGGCCAGGCGCTCTGCTAGAGCCCTGTGGGGATCAGTGAAGCCATAAGTCAAGGAGCCCCAACATTCAGCCCACCTTCCTGGACCTGTCTCCCTCCTTAGAGGGACCCTATTTTGTGGGACATAGGGATGACAGGCCAGATGGGGTGCTAGGGAAAGCGAGGGGCTCCTTCCCCCCCAGAATGGCCCTCTTCCCCACACACTGTGGGTGCTCTCACCTCAGGGGGGGCCCACAGTTGACCAGGATGATGGTCCTGCTGATATAGGTGTCGGGTGGCAGCTCCCGGACTCCTGGGTTCTCATGGAATCGCTCGACTCGCTGCTGGAAGCT